AAATATCCAATAACCACTAAAACTCTATGCTGACCTTTTGAAATAATAATGTCGTCAGGAAAAAATTAAAATTTATTTTTTAAAAATTTTGTTAATAGTTGGGACTAATCATTCTGGGCAAAAGATTATGGAGGATGTTTAGTTGATCCTTAAGTTATCTCAGAGTATCAGCAGAAGCTTCCACATCCAAGGATGATACAATAGGAGCACATACTTCCATATCCTAAGGCGAGTTGCTCGTCCAGCCCTGCTGCACAGAACATGGTGGGGGATAGGGAGCCTGGTCTGCCAGAGTCAGCCTTCCCCCACTCCAGGCCTTACGAGAGAAGCTACATTTCTTTGGAGAGAATTGTCAGACACCTTCCCTCAAGCCAAGCGAGAAGGATTTAAGACATCCATGCAGGAGGTGGACCTCTGTCTCTGGGGCTGTCAGGGAGGGAGAGACTGTCGGATTTATCCCTGAGAGCTGCCAAGCTGAAGTCATGGTTAGAGGAGTCAGTGGAGACAGAGGGCTGAGCTGGGAACCAGCGAGGGAATCAATGAAGAAGCATGATTCTCATGGCCTGGTGGGGACCCTGTGGATGGGAGCTGGACTGGGTGTTGCTGAGAGATACTCCGCCTGAGGTAACCACAACAGAGATACGGACCTTCTAGAAGGACTATCCGATGTCTAATTCCCAAGCGAGTCGGCCACCAACTGTAGAGAGGCAGTAGAATATGCTGCTTCTACTATACTAGTGGGGAGTTTATAGCTAAATATATGTAGTTATGTGGCCAGAGGAAGAGTTTTAGAAACAGATTTGTCTATAAATTTGAGGCAAGGATTGGCTAAATGGAGCCAGGATCACAACAGGGCAGCCAGGCAGAAGATGGTGTCTGTCTTATCTGCTTTCTTCACCCTCCTCCACAGCAGTTTTCTCCCAGCCTAAAGAGAAACTTAGTGGAGTTCTAGAATCGTCAACAAATAACATGGGCTTTGCATGTGGTGGAGGTTGGGGGATTAAGGATCTGACTCAGTAGAAATATATACGAAGGTCTTAAAATGAACTAGAGGATGGTGAGCTGCCATTCTACCCTTCTAGCCAGCAATGTCCGGGAAGCCCTTAAAAACACTCCAAGTTCATGATGCAGGGGAGGGAGCTGACCATGGTCCTCACCGAGTCCAGTGGGAGATTCACAGAATGTGAAGCCATGTAGGAAGCTGGCATGGGCCTCAGAGGGCAGTCAATCTAACTCACTTAATTTCACTTTACAGATGAGTAAACTGAGGCAGAAGAGGTGAAGTGGCAGACCCAAGTCCACACAACTACCACATGGTGGTGGGCAAGAGGAGTGACGGCTACATCACTTGTGAGTTATGTTGGTTTTTTAATGCTGACAACTAGTTGCAGCTTCAGAAATTATCTGTTCAGCAGAGGCAGCCCTGCAAGGAGCCCTTGGGCCCTGGGGCCTGGTTGCAGATTCATCACCAAGTTACTTGTTTGTGGTGTTATCATCTTTCTTTCCCTGACACATTCTGGAAATTGGCTAAATCTGATACATTTCTCAGTAGTAAGTACAACTACATAAAGAAATTAGGTAAAAAATGTTTGCTACTAAAAGCACAGAAAAAAGCATGAGAATTCTGATGTTTATTTATTTAAAATGTATTTATCACTGTTTATCCTTTTTTCTTTTTACCTCTTACTTGATATCTTTTCCCTCGGCCTCTGTAACTCAGAGTAAAGTTGATTCTAGGTCTACCTCTCCGTCTCCCTGAGAAAACAGAAAAATATAAAAAGAGATGCTTTCAAAAGCATCATTGTACATAACAGTGCTTTTCAAGAACTCCATTTAACTATAATTTTTCAAGAGCCTAACACACATAGAAAAGTATATAGCACATGTCTTTGCAATTACCAAGCCTTTGATGGCTAGCCTGGGTTCATCCTAGCTTTTATTTATTTTTTATTATGACATTATTCCAAAATAATTTACTGCCATATTAATTTTAAAAAGGATTTAATGAAAAGTTCCATTTATATTCCAAAGAACACTGTGAGAATAATAATGAGGGCTAACACTTAAGTGCTTATTATGTGCTAGACACTAATATAAGACCTTCACATCTACTAATTTATTTATAAGCTATGGATTTTACTACCCCCATTACCAATAAAGAGATTGAAGCATACAGAAATTACAAAATTAAGTGAACCATTGCAGATTTCCTTTGGTTGAGAGGAAGAAATCAATGACAGCAATGCACGAATTTGGGCTATCCAGGAGATACGAACACAGATGAGACACTGGCCATAATCTTAGCCCCGGATGAAAACTTTTAGGGCTGAAAATATAATGAAAGTGACCAACCACCTTATTCACATGGGTTTGGACAAAAAGTTAGAATCTAAGAGACTAACCAGGAGAATATTGACAAAAGTGAATGTGTAGAAATGGAGGGTCAAGTCCTAGAAAGTTTTAGGGTTAGATATAGCAAAGAAGGGTTGACCGAAGCCCTGTCTCAGGGCAATATGCTCTCAGATTTAGCAGGCGAAAGGTGTGGGTGGACAGACAGTGAAGTACCTGCAAGTAGATCTCACGAATGCCATGTTTAAAGGTGCTGCTCTCTAAGGCAGGACCATGAAGTTCAAACTCACCCATTCTTCCTTTCTTCCTCTCTCTCTCTCTCTCTCTCTCTCTGTGGCTCTCCCCCACTGTTTCTCTCCCCTTCCCCTATCTTTCTTTCTATGGCCTTGCCACAATTTACACTCGTTCAGCCATAGACATCTTAGGCAAATAGACTCTTTTCTGTCACTGTGTGTCTTTTTCTGGTACTGTGGATTCACTTTCATCAAAGCCTGTTGAGGTCAAACAAATTAAAAGTACACCAGTAGTCTTATTCAGCTTACTAAAGCTTGACTTACCAGGAGATTTGGGGCTAAAGACCTGATAATAATATAGAGCCCTGGGTTTTCTGTAATAATTGTTCTCTGTAAATTTTCTTGCTCAAATACCCCACAGGAAGTAGTGTGGTTATTGGTGGGTTTCCTGTTCAAACGCTATCAGTCAACATCGCATACTTGCTATAGAATTGGGCAAAGTGCTCCTCCCTCCTCCAGGCAAGTGAGAAGACCTCAGCTTCAAGGTAACTGGTCTGCATCTCCAGGAATTTCAGGGGGGCAGAGACATGTACAGACTTGACCCTGAAACATCTAGAGGGGGTGACTGTGTTAGAAACCAGCTACAGGCCCACTGACAATGATACCATGAAGAGGCATCATTCCTTCCAACAGGCCTCCCTGGGCATGGGAAGAGCTTGATTAGCTCTTCTTGAGAGATACTTAGTCCAGGAGAATCACTGGTGCATGAGGTGACCCTGCAGGGGTGTGGACCACCCAGGTGCTGGGAGCCTAAGAGGGAGGTGGCAAACAGCCAGTTCCTGCACCGGGGGAACATCAGTTGATCAATTCTATCTGAACTGCGTGTCTCTGAAGAACTCACAAATGAACGTGGCTCGTGCATCCACCACATCTGGGAGACACCAAGGACAGATCACGACAGGGCCATCCCTGCTCCTCACCACTTCCTTCTCTCCCTCCTCCCAGACCCAGATCAGCCGAAAGCAACAGACACTGACAGGAGTTAGAGAGGGAGTGAGGATGGAAGAAGGTGTCAGCCTCACCCAGCTTCTTCACTACATACTTTCCAGTTTTACTATTACATCAGCTCAGGCTTTTTAATATTGAACGAGATACCACCACTGCTAGAAAGCACTGGCTCAGCTCTGAGGCTTACCTGAGACTTCATCCATGGGCAGACAAAGAACTATTGTGGGAACAGGTTTTAAAGGATGTAGGAGGAGGAATTAATGTGATTTCTGTTTAGACTTACCAAATCCAACTATTTTAATAAAGCAGGTAAGGTTGAGAGTTTTCCACAGAAATCAGTAAAAACTTAAAAGCAAAGAAATCTTAGGCCTGGATAACTGTAAACTGGTATATAACTTGGTATATAACCAAGATGATAAAGATAGGTATAGAGATAGAAATGATAGAGATGGTAGAGCTGTTAGATGCATACATTTATGTATATTATGGCTATATTTAAAGTCATTTATGATTGAAAATATTTATGTTATTTACTTAAATATGTGTACATATCTGTATATAAGTGACAGAATTAATCAGAAGTAATGAAAAAAAAAACAAACTATATCCAAATATGCCTTAACTCTAGAGGAAAAAGCCCTGACAACTCTACAGTGCCATATAAACTACTAGAAATATTTTCTTTTCTTTCTTTCTTTCTTTCTTTTCTTTTTGAGATGGGGTCTTGCTCTGTTGCCCTAGCTAGATTGCAGTGGCATCATCACAGCTCACTGCAACCTCAAACTGCTGGGCTCAAGCGATCCTCCTTCCTCAGCCACTCAAATAGCTGGGACTACAGGCATACACCACCATGTGGAGCTAATTCTTAAAACATTTTCTGTAGAGAAGGGGTCTCCCTATTGTCCAGGCTGGTTTCAAACTCCTGGCTTCAAGCGGTGGTCCTGTCTTGGCCTCCCTAAGTGCTGGGATTCCAGGCATGAGCCACTGTGCCTGACCCATATAAGTATTTCTATATTCATTCAGCATAGTAAGAAAAAGATAAACACCACAACAGAAAACACTGACTGCATTCTACAACAAAGAGTTCTATTAAGAAGAAAAACAAATGACCAATAACAAATAAAAAATTCCTGACCACACTAAAAATGAAAACAATGCACAGTGAAGCAGCACTGAAATAAGTCTTTTTGTATTTCAATTAAAAATGTTAAATGTTTTTATTGTCTAAGTATGATATATCAGTTTAAAAAGCAAGAAAATAAAAATATGTCTGAAATTATTTCATTTAAATAAAATTATATTCCCAAATGTGTTAATACATGTCTAGAAAAATTCTGGAAAGATATATACCAATGTTTATGAAAAACATATTTTGAAATCAGAATCAAAAGCAACATGAAGATATGAACATTTAAAAAAACATAGTTACTTTAAAAAGCATTTATTTTTTGTCTCATGAAAAGTATAGAAAATCACGATAGCAATTGTTAGCATTAAAACATAGGTCATTTGTAATATAAAAATCAAGTAAATTCTTGTTTGTTCTTACTTCTTTTTCTACTGTGTTTTTCCAAAGCAGAATTGTTTCCAGCATCCATGGTATCTAGAAAGTGACAGGTGGTGGTCAGAGAACTGGAATTTGTAAATAAAAGTTACAAATCTTACGACAATTCACACTGTGAGAAAGGCTTGAGTTTACAATGATGTTCTGAGTATCATTTCCCTGTCTTCCTTCTAAAGGAAACAAACAGGTACTGAACTGATATCTAAGGACTTCCTTTAGTTCTCTAAGACTTTGAAAAAGCTCTTGATTACATGCACCAATTTCCTCACTTACAAAACAAGGATAGCAACAGTTATTCTGCGCAGGTTTTCAATATTTTGTGAAGATTAAATAAGTTAATGGGAAATCACCATATAAATCAATAACATGCTCGCGGACATCCTTTCAAAACTACACATTTTTAGTTTAAGAGTAGTTATCTGAGGTCTTTTTCCGGACAGGTAACAGGACCATTTGTCTTTTTAGGCCTTTCCAAGGTTGCGAAAAAGTGACACTATTATCTACCAATGGAAGAACATGGCTTTCTTTTTTCTGCAAACAAGGGTGAAAGTCGCTGTATAAATCCAACACTTTAGTATTGATATGCTAATAGAGTAAATGAGATACCATTTTTACTCCTGTATTTCTACATAGTTCATACATAACCACGAGAGCCCATCCTGTTAAACATGACTCTATAATGATTTCCTGCCTCCCTGCAGTTCCCAAAGGGTCAGGCCAACCAAATGCAGAGAACAGGATTCTGGCCCGGACCAGGCCTGTTCTTGTTGCAGTGTGTTCACAATCAATTGTGCAGGAATCAGGAGCTCAGATTTCAGACTTCTGAACTTCTGACACTTGGGGTCTGTGGGCCCACTTCCTGTTGGTGAGCCAGAGGCTGCTTCATGTTCTCCTTGAACTCTGATCACCTGTCACAGCCCTCCCTAGTGTCTGTGGTATCCGCTCAGCCATGTCCATCCCAACACCCTTGGGAAGCCTTACCCATCATGTCAGGTGTTTGGCTATGTTCTGTTGTTGCTTCTTGACTTCTTGGCACGCCATTTGAAAAACACATGACACAGGAACACTTCTCCTTTTTAGGTCTTTGTAGGTCTGCTCCTAAATTGCGATTTGTAAATATTTTCATTTTTGCCCTCTCTCATCCAAACATTAGTGACTACTCACTTCTATCTTAAAGCATGGATCTACCTCTGAAATCTCTTTCTCTTTTCTTGTTACTCACTGTGTTTGCCCTTCCATGAATGATCACAGAATTTCAATCCCAAGAAAGTGTTGATTAACAGTGTGTTTTAGTGATGGAGAACACTGGAGAAGCAGAGGCTGGTTTTAGGGAAAAAGATGATGTGCTCAGTTTGGGAAAGGTGGAGTGTGAAGTTTGAAGATCTTGAGAGACATCCAGGTGGAGAAGGCTATGGCCTTTAGGACCTCATACAGAAACCATCCACCACTTGGATGAATGAGTTTAGAAGACAGGGCTGGCTGGAGATATATGTTTAGTAATCATTAGGTTGTGGGTGGTGACTGAAGCTATATGAGTGCATCAAATGCCTGGGTGAGGCCTTTTGTAATCTGGGTGAGTTACAGGGGCCACTTTGATATCTGGGGGCAACTTATTCTGAAAACTCACTGCTGCTGGGAACCATGCCTTGTGCCAAAGTGGCTTTTGTCTCATGATCATCTCAGACCCCACAATTTCTCCATCTCTCTCCTCTTTCCCTTTAACACTGGCCCTTCTCTCTTCCATTTTTCTCTCATCTATTAACTTATTCTCAACATCCATTACCCCCTGCATGTATCTCATCCACCTAGTTTTCAGTTTATGTCTCTGGATCTAGTTTTATAACTGAGGTGATCCTCTTTCCACCACCACTTCCCTTGCTATTGTCTCTTCCAGCTCTGTTTCTCTCAGTCTTATCTTGATCTTTTGGCTGGTTTTATAATTTCAATCTTTCTCTTTATCTGTGTTTTCTTTCTTTTTTTTTTTTTTTTCCTTTCTTCGAGATGGGATCTAGCTCTGTTGCCCAGGCTGGAGTGCAGTGGTGTGATTATAGCTCACAGCAGCCTTAACTCCTGGGCTCAAGCAATCCTCCTTCCTCAGCCTCCCTAGTGGCTGTGACTATAGGCCTGGACACCATGCCTGGGTAATTTTTATTTTTTGTAGAGACAGGGTCTCACTATGGTTCCCAGGGTGGTATCCATATTTTCTTCACCTGTATTCAGGTTCTTCTCACAGACTACTTTCATCATCATCAAATGCCTGCTCTTTTGACACTGACCACACAGCCAGCTCTATTACCTTTGCCAGTTGCCTATGAGCTTTCTACATTGCAAG